TCCGTTCCCCAGAGTGCCACTCCTTCGCTCACACCCCCTTTGAAACATTAGGGTGTGCCTGGGCACACCTGGCACACCCCGGGTGCATGCCAATGAGTGGGAGTGTGGAGAGCTATTAAACTAAACTGAAATCCTATATATAATAGAAACAGCTTCAAGCCCAGAGTTGCGGCAGCACCCCCAGCATCACCCATGCTTACAGGCATGCCCATGCCTACCCATTCTTGACCTACACTATTAAACATTTTTATCAGCGACTTGCAAGAAAATATAACATCATCACTGATAAAATTTGCAGACAACACGAAAATTGGGGGAATGCTATATAATGAAGAGGACAGGTTGTAGATACGGAGTGATCTGGATTGCTTGGTAGGCAGGGCACAAGCAAACTGTGTATTTTAACATTGCTAAATGTAAATGTGTACATCTAAGAACAACAAATATAGGCCATACCTACAGGATGGGGAAACTCTTTCCTGGGAAGCAGCGACTCAGACAAAGATTTCAGGGTCATGGTGGATAATCAGCTGAACATGAGCTCCCAGTGTGGCAAGTTAGCCAGAAGAGGTCCAATCGCTGAATTGGACATCCTTCGATGCATAAAAAATGCAAATGTGAGGAGGAGTAGACAGGTTATTTTACCTCTGTATTTGGCCCTGGTGTGGTGAGTCCTGAAATTCTATGCCCATACCTCAAGAAAAATGTTGATAAGTTGAAGATGGTTTGGAGAAGCACCCTGAGAATGATTAAAAGATGAGAAAATATGCCTTATGTGATAGGTTAATAGAGCTAATCTTTTTAGTTTAACAAAGAGAAGCTTAATGGATGACTTGATCACAGTTTGCAAGTACAAAATGTATAAAGGATCAAAAATTTGCAAATGGGCCCTTGAGTCTAGCGCAGAAATGTATAATATGACCCAATAGCTGGAAATTGAAGCTAAACTCAGTCTGGAAATGGGATGCATATTTTTAACAGTTAGAGTAATTAACCATTGGAATTTATGAAGAGTCATGGGGTGCATTCTCTATCACTGACAATTTTTAAATCAAAATTGGATTTTTTTTTGTAAAAGATCTGCTGTAGGATGTATTTGGGGGGAAGCTTTATTACCTGTATTATACAGGAGGTCAGACTGCATGATCATACATTCTGGCCCTGGAATGTATGAATACTGTTCACATTCTTATTTAGCACTCATACTGTTGTGAAAAGTCTGAGAAGTAGCCCTGTTAGTCTGGGTTATCTGCAATAATCCTGTGGCACCTTAGAAACTAACAAATTTATTGGGGAATAAGCTTTCATAGATAAAACATTCTATCAGATAAATTGGAATGGAAGTTACAGAAACAGGAGTATATATAAGGAAGAAGTTATTTTTGTGTTAATGAAGCCAATCAAGTCAGGGTGAAAGTCAGTCATTCACAGCATTTGATGTGGAGATGTGAATATTCAGAGGGGAAATTGCATTTGTAATGTATTAACCAGTTGAGATCCTTATTCAATCCCAAGTAGATCATGTTGAATTTGCAAATGAAGTCCAGTTCAGAGTTCTCCTTTGTGAACAGTTTTAGACATCCTTTTGTAGAAGGATGGCTACTTTCAAATAGATCAGTATTTCCCAAATTGTGGTCCACAGCCCAGTACAGGTCCTTAAGAAAAAAATACCGGACCTCAGAAAATTTTTTTTGAGTGCCCGCCTCGCTGCCCGCAACCCCCAAGATGAATGCCGCACTGAACTCCCAGTGTCAACAGAGGTAACGCGGGCTTCCTGCGGGATTGGGGGGGCAGTTCTGCAGCTGCGCACCAGGTCCTGGAAGTGCACAGGCTGCTCTCTTCCCTGCCCCAACAGCCGGCGCAGTAACTAAAATGCCAGTCCATCTCATGCTGGGGACTTTGTCCTGTGCGCAGGGGAGTGGGTGGGGATCTGGGACTGCGCCAGCTCCAGCTGCTCGGGCGGTACGTGCTGCCGTGGGGAGCTGAGGAGCAAGGCGCGCGCTGCTCAAGCAGCTGGGGCTGGCATGGTCCAGAACTCCCCCTCCCCCTGTGCAGAAAGGCATCAGGCGTACAACGGACCAGCGTGTCACGTACTGCGCTGCTGTTTGGGGGACAGAAGAGCAGTCCACTCACTTCCTGGGCCTTCGCTGCTACAGGATTTCTCCCCCTTCCCAGACCCCCACAGGTACCCTGCCCCAGCACCCACAAGCACCCTGTCCCTTGCCCCAGCACCCGCAAGCACCCGGTCCCCTTCCCCAGAACTCTGTCCCAGCACCCACAAGCACAGTTGGGGCCACATTAGTTAGGTTTGAGGGCTTTGGAGGGGTTGTGTTTTTGTATATCACTTGTGTGGCCTCGACTGACTTTTCTGTGGGCTAAAGTTGGCACTTGGGGCTTTGGGAGGACCAGATACAATGTATTTGCATATTCATCATTTGCTTAATGAATATGCAAATATGCAAATAAATGTTACCAGTCCTACAAAAGCTAGTGAATGGATCAGTATCAAAAAGTTTGGGAACCCCTGAAATAGATTATTGAGGAAGGTTAAAATGCTCCCCTACAGTAGGGATGGGGAACCTTTTTTGGGTCGGGGGTTGCTGACCACAGAAAAAACATTTTGGGACTGCACAAAAGTGAGAAGTAAAAAATAAACCTATATAACTGGCATGAGGAGTGGGACCACAAATTAGGGGTTCAGTGTGTGGGAGGGGGCTGCCGGGATGGGGCTGAATGGGGGGAAGGTGCAAGAGTGAGTCGGTAGGTCTGAGAGGGTGGTAGGGTGCAGGAGCAAGCTGTGGGAGGCTGGGTGGAAGGTAGGGTGAAGGCCAACTGGAGAAGTGGAGAAAAAGCCTGAAGGCAGCACTTTGCTGCGCTGCCATTTCCCCAGTGGTAGGTAAGCTTTTGCCCCCCCCCCCCCCCACACACACACAGTGGGGAGCCAGTGCTGGCACTCTAGCCCTACAGGGAATTCTAAGGGTTCCCCAATGCCAAGAGGGTAGGGGGAAACCCTGAGCCTCAGAGGCTGGATCCAGAGAAGCCAAGGACCGGATGCAGCCCCTGGGCCAAAGATTCCCCACCTCTGCCCTACAGGTTTATGTGTGTTATCATTCCAGATGTCTGAATTGTGTCCCTTTATCCTTTGGCATAGAGCAGGGGTGGGCAATCATTTTTGATGGGGGCCTCTCCAAGATTTTGGAAAGTAGTTGAGGGCTGCACTCTTCTAAGATATTAATGAAGATGCGGGGTCTGGGATGGAAGTGGGGTGCAGAAGGGAGCTTAGGGTAAGGGACTGGGGTGCAGGAGGGAGAATGGGGTCTGGGAGGGAGTTTGGGTGAAGGAGGTGGTTGTGACCTAGGGGAGGGAACTGGGGTGCAGGGTTTTGGGATGTGACCTAGGGTAGGAGGAGATTGTGATCTGGGGCAGGAAACTGGGGTGCCAAATCTGGGAGGGAGTATGGATACAGGAGAGGGCAGAGGATTTGGGTATGTGGAAGGAGACAGAGGGTTGGTGGGCAATCATTTTTGATGGGGGCCTCTCCAAGATTTTGGAAAGTAGTTGAGGGCTGCACTCTTCTAAGATATTAATGAAGATGCTTAAAAATCCCCATGTGCCTCGTTCCCAGCACCCTTTCCAGATGGTATTTTCTGCTTGTTTGTTTTTACTGGATGGGGCCTGAAATAACTGGCTCTCCGGGCGAAAACTGGACACCTGGCAACCCTAGATGCAGGATTTTGGGATGTGACCTAAGGTAGGAGGGGATTGTGATCCGGGCAGGAGATTGGGGTGCCAGATCTGGGAGGGGGTATGGGTGCAGGAGGGGGCAGAGATCTTCTGAATGGCCAGAGCGGGAGGCAGAGGCAGGCTTTGGCGGGGAGGCACTTACCAGCAGAAACCTGAAGCAGACAGTCTGTTGCAGGCTGCTCCACATGGCTCTGTTCTGGGCATGAGAGCGGGGGAGGAGGCCAAGAAGAAAAGAAGCAGGCAAACATTTTCAGTTCCTGTTGTCTGGAAACTGAGAGGTTGGCCAATGGGAGCCAAGAGATTTTGCTGGGGGGCAGAAACAGCATAAAAAGTCTCCCTCCTCCCTCCCCAGCTGTTGGGAATGGAGAACCAGATGATTTTTTAAAGTATGAGCTGTTCTCTGCCTAAGGGTCCTGACGAGGCGGCCGTCAGAGACTGGCATAGAAACTGTCCGGTTTGGCCAATATACAAAGCAGAGGGGCATTGCATACTGTAGTATCTATGTTTCGAATTGTATAACCTAACTTAATGATATGTAAATCTGAGGGGTGACAATTCCTAACAAAACTTACTTCTGTAATAATCTATGAGGTTGCTTTTAATATTGCATTGTTGGTAAACATCAATAAAGAAATAATTTAAATAGAATCAAGCATCTCAGAAATGTCAGGTCCAGTCATTTAAGTGTAGTGTACAAACATCTGTAAATATTAGGCCATTGTGTTACACATATCTGTTCTGGGTTTTTATCTGTGATGAATTATCAGAATGTTGTCTGACCTACTAAATTAAATGTGTGTGTTCCTAGCTAATGACTGTAGTATAGACCAGTGGCTCACAACCTTTCCAGACTACTGTAACTCTTTCAGGAGTCTGATTTCTCTTGCATATTCCCAATTTCACTTCAGTTAAAAACAATTTGCTTACAAAATCAGACATGAAAATACAAATGTGCCACAGCACCCTATTATTGAAAAATTGCTTTTCTCATTTTACCATATATTTATAAAACAAATTAAATGGAATATGAATATTGCACTTATATTGCAGTGTGTAGTATACAGAGCAGTATAAACAAGTCATTGTGTAAAATTTTAGTTTGTACTGATTTCACCAGTGCCTTTTATGGGCATCCTCTTGTAAAAGTAAGAACTAACTAGATGAGTTAATATACCCACCGGAAGACCTCTGCATGCTTGAGAACCACTTTTACAAACTGCCAAATCTTTATAAACTCCAAACTGATTTGTTTCCAGCAATTACTTGTCGCAGACAAGATGGAGGACCGTCTGACATCAGTGAGTGCCTAAAATATGCAGGCCCTTTACCACCTTTAACACAGGCCTGCCAGATTCCTTGCCAAGATGACTGTCAGTTCACAAGCTGGTCAAAGTTTTCTTCCTGCAATGGGGACTGTGGAGCAGTCAGGACAAGAAAACGCTCTCTTGTTGGTAAGAGTCATAGGGGCACAGAAACATTATTTATTCTTAGCTGCTGTTTACTTTATTTTAAACTTGTACAGTGCTCTACAGACCAAGGGCAGCCATTGTGTGTATTATTGACAAGCAGGCACCTCAGAAGTCAAGGGCAATAACTAGGCAGATAATTGCCATACACAAGAAAGGGGGGGCAGAAAGCAGAGCTGGGGGGGATTGGGGGAAGGGGGGCGGGAAGCCACTGGCCGCAGCTGGAGCCCGACAGGCCGTGCCCGTGGCAGGCACTCCCTCTAGTTGTTAGTAGAAGCCGGGCGGGGGTGGTCTGGAGTGGCTTCCAGCCACTCCCCCCGCCTGGCTTCAGCCCGCAACCAGAGGCTCCCAGCTGGGAGGCGGGGCCGCAATTGGCGCTGGGAGCCTCTGGTTGTGTATTCCCAGCCACTCCTCCCACCCCACCCGGCTTTTGCATGCGACCACAGGGCTCCCAGCACAAATCGTGCCCCACCTCCCAGTCACTCTCTCACCTCCGCCAGGCTTCCATCCGGCGCCCAGCCGGAAATTCAGAAAATACCGGACATTGCACATGTCCGGTATTTTCTGTATTTTTCTACCATACAGAGGGCGCAAATACCGGACACCTGGCAACCCTACCCCCGACACGCAGCCCAAGCAGGTCCCGGCCTCTCATTGGAGAAGGCTCCAGCCTCCGGACCAGCCCCTTCCCCTACGAGGCCTTAGCTGGCTCCCCCACCACACTGCCTCAGCCAGCCCCAGACTGGAGCAGCTGCTTGCTGTGCCACTCACCTTCCAGCAGGAAAGTGAGTGGTGCTGCACGGCTCTACAAAGCAGGTGGGCAGGCAGAGATTTTTTTGGCGCGTGGCCACACAGGTGCACGCTTCACCGGGAACTATGATCAAGAAGTATGTATAATGATGTAATAGCATGGAGTAAAATTTGAGGATTTTAATCATATGAAATAGTGTAACAGAACCAGAGAGAGGCTTATTCTCCCTTGATACCTAAAGAATTTTTAAAAACCACAAAAAAACACCTTGTGTTATGCATGGAATGATTATGACATATTAACTATTCAACAATAAATGCTTAGCACCAGTGAAAATCAGGCCACTTTCCTAAGTGATTAAGTGTAGTTTTAGGTGCCTAACTTTAGGCATTTCTGCATCTGAAAGTTTTGGCCTTAAGTTATGTGCTGCTTAGATAATTTTTTCTACAGTTATAGATCATTAAATATAATTACCTCCTTTTGTGTAACATGATAGAAAGTACTTTCTGAACAATTATTTTCTGCCTCCAGGGAAAAGTAAGAAGAGGGACAAATGCAAAAATTCCCAGTTGTATCCTTTGATTGAGACTCAGTTTTGTCCTTGTGACAAGTACAACGCTCAACCTGTCGGGAACTGGTCAGACTGCATTTTGCCAGAGGGCAAAGTGGAAGTATTACTGGGAATGAAAGTACAAGGTGATATCAAGGAATGTGGGCAAGGCTATCGTTACCAGGCCATGGCATGCTATGATCAAAATAGTCGGCTTGTGGAAACATCGCGATGCAACAGTCATGGTATGTACAGACATCTTTTCTTTCTTCTTTCTTTATTTAATTGTTTTATTTAAATGTAACTCTTGAGAATCTGTAGGTCATATACATACACTGAATTAAGAAATCGATATTTATTGATTTGACAGAGTGTAACTGCTGTGGAATATGTCATGTTGTCCCAGAAATATCTCCTAACCCAACTCACGCTGAGTAGTAGTAGTGAGCTTGGAAAACTTGTTCTGAGTCATACAGTAAATAAGGGATAGGGTCAGGAATGGAGGTGATTTGTAACACTGAAAAAAAATGTTCTGGTTCTTTCAAAAGTTTACAACTGAACATTCATTTAATATATCTTTCAAAAATTTACTATGCTGAAGAAAAATGCAGCTTTTAACCGCCTTACTTTACCTTTTCATAGTAGTTTATGCTTAACCTAGTACAGGTTGAACATCTCTGATCTGGCACCCTCGGGACCTGACCCGTCCCAAACCAGGGAATTTGCTGAACCAGAGAAGGTTCCTTGCCACAGCCCCCAGCTGTTGACTCTACCATCTTGGGTAGTGGAAGCAGGGAGACTACCTCCAGCCCCTGCCAGAATGCCTGCTGGGTTTGCTGCCGCTGCATGGGCTGGATTGCCTGATGGGTTTCAGCAGGCTTCACTGCCACCGGCTGTCACGGGCTCCAGTCCACGCTGCCGTGGGCTGTCACAGGCCCGGCCTTATGCTGCCATGGGCTGCTGGGGCTGCCACCAGACCCGGCCCCAGTCCCGCTGCCACGGGCTGCTGAGAGCACAGGCTCCTGGCCCACAGCAGCCCACAAGGCTCTGGCCCCACTTCCACGGGCTGCCCGAGGTTCTGGCCCCAGCCTGTGCTGCCACAGGCTGTTGCCAGCCCAATCCTGCACTGCCAGGGGCTGCCCCGACCTGGTTCCAGTGCTGCAGGCTGTTGAGGGGTGCTGGGGGCTGCTTCCAGCTCTAGCCCCACTGCTGCGGGCTGCTGGGGACTGCTGCCAGCCTCAGCCCCTACCCCATCCTACTGCTTCAGCCCGGCCCCTCTTGCCACTAGGCTGCCAGGGTTCTCTGATCCTGGAACAACCGTGGTCCTGCCAGACCATGGATGTTGCCGGACTAGAGAATTCTGGTTTTGGGATGTGCAACCTGTACTGTTCTCTATTTGCAATTTTGTTTCTTTGTTTCTGCTGCTACCTGATAGCATACTTTCAGTTTCAAATGAGGTGTGATTGACTGGTCAGTTCATAATACTGGTGTTCATAACTGTTAGGTTCTACTGTATATGGTTTGTATGTAAAATTATACTAAATTACCAGGCGTCAATTGGGCTATATCTGATATAGTCAAGTATATCTTAAAAATGTATCAATTTCATTTTATGTACACCCACAGTTTTCATTTGCTTTAAGAGCCACAGGGCCAAATCCTCAACAAATAAGATGTGGTGCAAAATTGCTCTGAAAAGAATGGAATTATTTCCCCTGACTGCAGAGCTTTAGGATAGTACTAATCTCCTGAAGATCCAAATCCTTTACCCACTTCCCTTCACAGGAAGTTTATCAGGTGTCCATACATAACTCTGTCCACTTGCCACACCATGCACAGCTCCTTTCCATGCACATCTCACTGTCACAGACAGAGCATTATAGAACACAGGCTTCCTGTATCCTGCTTGCTTGGATCTGGGTGAAGGTAGGATTGGTTCTAAAATGGTTGCTGGCCTGTGGTCTGTACATATGCAGAGTTATGACCAGACCTGGGGCTATTTAAATCAGCCTACATAACTTCAATGGACCCATGCTGATTTGCATTGGCTAAAGATCTGATTCCAGAGTACTTTGTTCCACATTTAGGTGTGGGATTATATACATGCCAGTGTTATTAGACTGAATGTCAGTATACCATTTCACCAGAATGTCAACACTGAGCGTATGCTGTGTATTCTGATTTGTACTGTAGGACGGGGCTGTAAACATAATAGATTTAATTACTGAAAGATACTTAAAATAAGCAAACAACAACATTAACTGAATGAAAGGGATAATTATTTGTATGCCTTCCTCTGTCAAACTTCACCCATAATAAGTTATAAAGTGCTGATGATGTCTGGTGGAAGTGTGGCAAATGGAGATGCTTGAATTTGATAAGTTCTGAGTTCTTTTAATTCTCGTTGAATTAAAAAAGAGAGTTCTTGGCCCTTTGCTGGAAGTACTCAGCATCTCACCAAATCAGGCTAGTTATCCACGCTTGTCTGTTTTCCTTACTTAGAGGAAGATAAATAGCATTTAACTGACCATGAAGCCACCTTTAGAAAATTATAAAATGGAGACTTAACCTTAGTGCAGTTCTTCCATTTTCTACTTTGCTGCTGATGTGTTAGATCACATTTTTAATTTGTTGTGGCTGTTATGCATAGCAAGTCACTAGTGGATGATTTATTTTCATCATCGTCTGTGAGCCTGCAAAAGATTTTCACAGATCTGAGTGTTTCTTTTTGATCTGTTAATTAGAGCTGTGAGAGCTTGAAAAACCTAACCTAAGTAGTAGGCTTTCTTAAAGCATAAAAAACCCTCTCAGCCTTTTGAGACATTAGTCAGTGGAAAGCATAAAACAATACAAGATTTGAGTCCAGGATAAGCCATATGGGTCTAATGTAAATCATCATTGACTTGGACACTCAAATTGTGTGTAAACTGTTAAAAGAAAATTTGCACGGGACGGACGCAGGAGTTATTCTGTAATCTGTAGATGCAATGCATGCTGGGGAACTTGACTGATATAAAGAACAAAGAAAAGGACAGATAAGGATGATATTCAAATGTCCCTCGAACAGGAAAGGTCCCAAACTTGCATTTGCAGAAACCAGGACCTGTTGCCAGAACCCACCCCATTTCCCATTTATTCACCATCAGGTGCTTGAAGGGAGGATCTTCAATTAATCTTGGTACAGACTAGACATAACTTTCTTTCTTTCCCACTACATTTGGATGAATGGAAGCAGGACTTGATTGTAAATCTGCCCCCTACTGACTGTCCTCCATATTATCAATACCCCTTTGCTTGGGAAAACTCAGACCATGTGTTTATGTGCCCTGCCTCTGTTGCTAATAGTTTCTTTTCTTTGCCTCTGTGTTTCACAGTGTGATGTAAAACCAAAGCCCAAAATATTCTTGTTAGGACACCCTCATCTTGAATTTGTAGAAATTGATTAATTTCAGACATTTCCATTTTCTAGTAGTTCAGCATTTCAATAGCACTGGCACAGGACTTTTTTTAATACTGTGTATACTTGTTTTACTGTTTCCTTGCTCTTTTAAAGGGCTTTTTGGTTGTGGACCATGAATAAATTAGGCCCAAGACACACAATAACAAATGAACTGAGATCATTTTCTCTTTTGCCCCTGTTGCCCCTTCTCTGCGTGCACTCGCTGCCTACCAGAGTCTTTGTTTTCATTGGCCCCAGAAGAAGTGGTAGAGGTGCTTCCACTTTCACCCACCATTCCCAGATATATCTGCTTCCTGGGACAACTTCATGTTCTTCAAGTGTGAACTTCCCCACCCAATCTCAACAGTAGCTGCTCACAGGATTTTTTTTCCTGATATCTGCCTACTTAATCGTCATTTGGGCAGCAAGTTTTCACTGGGACTTGTCCATAAATCTGGGAAGAAAAGATAAAAAGCCTTCCTTTCCCCACTCTCCCCTGGTTGTGCTGCATACGCTCTGCAGGATTTTATGGTAGTGTCAGAATCAAGATCCCTGTTCCATGTTCACCCCTATCCACAACCTTGTTAGCCAGACTACAGCTACTCAGGGGCAGATGACCATTTTGCGGGGCCCATGGCAGCACAATTTCGTGGGGCCCCCCTTTGCCACGGCGCATGCGCGGGGCTTCTTGAAGCGCGGGGCCCGGGGCGGTCGCCCTGCCCTATATCCGCCCCTGCAGCTACTCCTTGGGATTCCTTAATGGTTCCAACCAGGGAAGATCACATTCTCTCCATCTTAGCTCACAGAGCTCATTGCAGTGGGAAGTGTTCACCTCCTAGTACTCCTTCGTGAGTTTGTGGAGTAGGCCTAGCAGCATGTAGGTAGCTGGGAGGAAGTCCTTGCAAAGCTCACAGGGCATGAAGACATCTCTTTCCTTCTCCCTCACTTTGAGCTCACCACCCACTGCTCAGTGGGAATTATGAAAGTGATCCAAGAGAGAATATCTGATCACACCCTGCCTATTCCCATTGGTCCCATTCCTGTGCTAGCAGGAGGGGGCACCCTGCTCCTCCATGCTGATATTACCTCCTAACAACATGGCAAGGCAGCTAGGGACTTAGTTGAGGGAGCCTCTCTGACTCCACCCCTTTCCCAGAATTGTTACTTCTCTCCTCTTCTCTGGCCCCAACTTTAAAATCAACAGTAGCTCTCTTGATGCCTCTGAGGAACAGCATCTTGTGAGCTGCCACCCCACAAACTGGGGTACCATAGTGATCATGCTAGTGCAGGAATCAGGAAGTGAAAATGACTTTCAGTGAAATAATAAAACTGACTATTCTTAGTAAGCTATCAAGTGCACAGAGTAATATATTGAGGTCCAAATATTTTTCTCTGGCTTCTTTCAGTAATGAAAATTGTAGGGGTTTACTTGTAAATATAGTTGGCTACAATGAATTATCCAAAAATGTGATCATTTGAGTTGGCAATGTCTCTTTAAATGAAAAACACCTAAGTAAGTCTTTTGGCAACTGTGACTAAGTAGGAAATATCTGTATTGTAGCTTTTTTTTAATAAATATGATGTTTTTGCCTGTGATGGGTTTCTTTCTGTGGATTTAGATCAAATGAATTGTTAGAGGAATCAGGCAGGAAAGGTAAAATAATGGCGTAAAAAACGAGCATCTGAACAAACACACAAGCATAACAATCAGTTTTATAGCTGGGAAGAGGCGACTTGTGGCCTCAGTTCTGGTATCACAGCTATTTAGCGAATGCTGAGAAAAGAAGAGAACAGTCAGACTTCAGA